CCATTTGAGCAATGCGCTCTGAACAAATTGTCACCTTGACAGGCTTTCCGGCCATGGCTAGCGACTCGGAGGCAGCCTTTGCCCTCTGGGCTTCGCAGGAGGATTTGAATTCGACAAAACCGAATCTGAAAAGAGGTATGGAGCAGAAGGGAAGACGTTAGGTGTGATATATGGCCTTTCGTGTATTTCTTTTCTCAACCTGGAATTAAGCGTTCTGTGTCGAGTTTGACGCTGTAACTGCCAAGGGAGAAGTTGGGTTCAACGTGCAGTTATTGCTCTGAGCTTTCACGGTTGAAAAGCTGATGACAAAAATCACAGATGGTAGATGTGCCACTATTGCCCGATAAGACAATGGGAACCGGCAAAGGAGTAGGACGTGGACTCTTTTGTAGGGGGAGAACATCCTAGATACGCTTCTGTGCCACTGGGAAGCAGCCTATATACGATGAAATAAACTCAACTTATGCAAGCAGCTAGACTATATGGGCAATCTTCAAGTACCGTTGTAATCCCTCGCCTCACGACTGTAATTTGTGTTTACTGCCTACCCACTTTTTTCCTTGCCTGTATGAGGGTTTAAGGTAAGATCTTTCAGTTGATTATTCGCTGCAGTGAACCATGACTCTTGCAATGACCTGTGTAAATTCGAATTGTTGTGTCCATTCGTGATCTATATAATATAACTAGGGATTGCAGTCGACAAGTCGTCACGAGATTTGTTGGAACCAATAAATCCTGCTGTGCATATCTGTTTTAACGTCATATCCGAAAAAAGGTTTCAGTATTCTAGATGAGTTATATTCATTGGCGATATGACACTCCACATTAGAGAGAGAGCGGCAACCACTTCGATTCCGATACCAGTAAATTCTCGCTATGACCCCAGCAAAGGAATGCGAACGTTTCTCGGGGGGTGAGCCCCTCCATGTCGAGACTACCAGTCACCGATCCCAAAGGTATTCGTCCTCCCACCCCCTCAGAACGTTGACTGCCGCTCTTTTGTTTCTTTCTGTCCCCGCATTCACCGCGTGAGCTCCTC